CACGCTTCTCTGTTTAATGCGATTTCTGACCTCGCCTCTTTACGCTCATTTGCAAAATAGTTCTCGTTGTTTTTCTTTTTACTTTTGCCTGTTTAATTTAAATAAAAAGTTTTAAAAGTTTTATTCAGCATTAACAGTATACGTCCCTTTTTGATATTGATTACATCTTCGAAAGTTAAGCGTAAATCACAAACTCATTTTAAACATGTCCCTTATTATTTACACTAAATTTTATAAGAAGCAGAAGACTTGTTTCCCTTAAAATTAAGTGGAAACAAAATTTAAGATAAATATTAGTTAAAAATGGCGCTGACGTCGAATTAGAATTAACGCATCAAACTAGTGGAAACTATGAGGGTGCACCATGATCTAAAATTTAATTAAACTGGACAATGCAAAAACAAATCGAACTTTAAATATATACCCATATCATAAAATGTAAATCATGATACATTTTACTATAATCTTATAGGCATCCTTAATAGGTAATAGTGCTTCCATTTAGATTTAAATTTCAGGTCATGGTGGTTGTCCATCTAAACCAGTGTCAGCAAAGGGTCGAGCAAAAGAGATTGGTTAATGGCTTAAGGATCCATTGCCTTTTGTTAATGTTGTAGGTCCATCCCAGATAGCACAAGATGTCCTGAGGACATCCGGTTTAAATCCTTTACAGACGGTCGCGACCAGAAAACCGATGGACGTCCTGAGGCCTAGGCCTATGGACGTCCTAAGGCCTAGGCCGATGGACATCCTGAGTACGTCCATCGGTTTTTTGCCTGCGACAATAGTTGAAGATACAAGTTGATATATCACCCTTTATAAAGGCCTTTATAAAAGGTGATATATCAATTTGTATCTTCAACTATTGTCGCAGGCAAAAAACCGATGGACGTACTCAGGATGTCCATCGGCCTAGGCCTTAGGACGTCCATAGGCCTAGGCCTCAGGACGTCCATCGGTTTTCTGGTCGCGACCCGGGTCTAAGTGAAAAAAAATTACACCTTGTTTTTTATTAAAAATTTTAATATTAATACTCCTTAATCAAGCACGATAAAAGATTTTAAAAAAAAGTTGTCATTTTTTTTTCACTTATATGTCTATAGATAGACCCTTTATCCACTTAAGTGGAATTGTGTCTTTAGTTGTCAAGTATTTTTAGCAATTGCAATTTTCCATATCTCTAACTTATTTAAAAATATCTAGTAAAATTAATTAATTCATTGCATTAAAAATATCATTACAAATTTTAAAAAATTATTTTTAATTATATTATATATATTAGGTATATTATATTTTTAATTTGTTGAATAAAAAATATCACATTGGCCAAATTAATAATTTGAATTAATAATATTATATGAGAAATGTATAATACGAATTAAAAATACCATTGGAGAAATTTCTCCACTTTAACATTTAAATTATTTAATTTGTCCTATAATATTTTTAATGCAATAAATTGTAAGAGTTTATTTCAAATTTACCGCCAAATAAACAGTTGGTATTGGAAGTAACCAGTTTAGTGACTTTAAGTTGGCAGTCTGAAATCCGCCATGTTGGCATTGTTCATAAAACAGCGTGTGCTGTTTTTAGTTAGCTCCCTGTTTAGTTAAATTTCTGTGTATTTAAATATATGATATAAGTGAAAACAACTTTTATTATATGGAAAAACCCCTACAAAATTTAAGTTTTCACTTGATATTTTTAAATCAATGGAGAAATAAATAAAAATAGTATTATGAAAGGTTTATTGTTTTAACTTAAGTAATATATGGTTAACGGATTGACCTCCTTTTCCCGGACACCCTGTATATATATATATATATATATATATATATATATATATATATATATTAACAAAACACTAAGTCTTGTTAACACTGTATTACATTTCCCTATTATAATAAAACTATGTCCTAATTCGGTCCTCATATGTCCCGAATTGGACAGCTTGGGGTCAAATACGGACGTCCTGAGGACATCCTATTTCGGAAGTCTGTGGACGGTCAAATACGGACGTCCTGAGGACATCTGAAACAGTCTATTTCGGAAGTCTGTGGACGTACTACGAACGTACTTTTGCAGACCCCGGACATCCTGAGGACGTTCGGGTTGTCCTGGGTGGAAGTCCTACGAACGTCCTACGAACGTACTTGTGCTATCTGGGATTATGGGATTTCCGCCCTTTTGCGTATGATTATTAGCAGGGTGTCAATTTTATATATTATAATATATGAATCTGTGGCATTACATGCTAATCCTAAAAGTATGCTTTACCACGTTTTACAAAGTTTTATCCCATCATTTGTTTATTTACGATTAGTTTTAATTTAATTTCTAAAACAAATATTATTTTTAATTATAAATTTATATTCATTATGTTGTAGACGTTTAAAATTAGTAATGATTAATTTATTTGTTCATATTGTCTTCTACAACATATTTTACCCGTGTGTGTCAGCATGCCAAAGTAAAACTTGTAATTAAATACAGATCTCAGTTTGAAACCAAAAACCTATCGTACTTTAATGGACTTTCCAAAATCTATTCCAGATCCGGACTAGACTTTGCGAAACCCAGCGTATGGAACACGGCGTCGAATAATTTGACAGTCCCATCACGTCCCTGTTTGTCTTACTTAATCCCCTCCCTGCGTCCCCACGGACCCGAGCTCAACAAACGAACGGGATTCAATGTTTTGTATTATGTAAACTAATAACGAACTGCTCTGGATTTGTCGCACGTTTAGCTGGACAGTCTGAAATCCTTAAAACTAACCGTTTAACTGTAGGATTAATTATAAAAGTATCCAATATAAATAATTTAAACTTGAGAACATCATTCCATGGGAACGTGTCCAAAGTGCCAAGCAAATATTTGCATATCTTAGTGAAAAGGTTAATTATTCATATTAAATCTTCTACTATATAATAGCTCCATATCATCACACATTTTAATTGATTATGTAACTAGCATAATTCAAATTTTTGTGTGAAATATTGTTAAACTAATAGAGGGGTGGGGGTCATATTTAAACATATTTTTAATATAAATAATTTTTTGTAAGCAAGTTATAAAATTCATAAGCAAAACAGAAATTTCTCTTAAAATAATTAAACTTTAACCTTCGATATCTTTTTAACGGTGAGGTTTACGAAAAAATTGTAATAGACCTTTTTTGTAGAGCGTTCGATTTCCTACAAGAATATGAGGAGAGTTATTTTTTAACGAACAGTTGTCGAAGAGATATAAATTTTTGTTTCTAATACTGAGGAAAAAATGGAAAATTGTAAAGCGGAGGACCTTGTTATCAAAATTAAGAGCTCATGTTTGGTGAGAATTCTCTAGAGGTGTCTAGTAACCGATTTTTCAGAGTACAAAGTAAAAAAAAAATAGTCGGTTTTTTTGACCCACCCTAATATATATATCCCCTTGTACCACTTTAAAAACTCACCTGGTATATATATATAGTTATATATATTATAACCTTGCGTTAAATTTCGAAATTATGGTTAATATGCTAAAATGCCTTGATAAATACCTGATTTATGGCTGAGTTTATAATTGACTTTAATTCAAAACTACTGCAATATAATTAACCGATTCTGGTTAGGATTTAACGCAGAAAATTGGCATGAACCTTTCGTAATTTCGACGGTTGAACTAACTCCCAATTCAGTTAACAATTAATAACGCAAAACTTGATTTAAATTCCGTTTATTGTCATTTCATTATCAAAACGAGAGTTTAAATTATTAATCCGATGGCCCAAAGTGAATCAACCGTTTGCTGAATTAAACAGAAAATCACATAATGATTAACAATGGATAAAAATATAATTGAAAAAATCCCAACTGTAAACATGATTTATAGACAGAATAAGTTATATCCAATTATACAGACTTCGCAATGTCAACAATTTTACAACTTCATTTAGTCTCCAAATTGAAACTCCGGTTTAAGAGCCAATAAACAGTTGGATAAACCAACTTGCCACGTTGCCAAACTTCAATTTCCGTAAATAAAAGTAAAAAATATAAAAATGAGGATTGTGCACTCAGCGAGATCGTCCGGTAAACTGTTGATGTCCTTCGAACTAATTCCGTAAGCTAATGCTGTTGTTTTGTTGCCGTTGAGTTTAAAGAAGTGATTTAAAGCTGGATTACCTATAGAGTAATTCCATATGAAAAAGTTCAATCGGAGTGCTGATTTTGATTGAATGATCTTTAAGGTATCAAATAAGTATAAAAAACTGTCCCTTTTTAATTTTTTTAACTTTCGAGATACCAATACAAATCTAAAATCTGAAATTTTCTCATTTTACTCTTTAGAAAAAAGCTGTAACTTAACAAAAGAGGTACGAAAATGACACAATTTCAGATTTGATATTTGTACATCTCTAAAGTAAAAAATCCAAAAAATTAAAAAGGGCCGGTTTTTTAAATCAATAAGATTATCCTTAATTTTTTTTCATCAAAATCTAAAAACATGCAGAACATTTATTGGACGTTTTTATATGGAATGACTCTATAGCAAAAGTTGGTTTAAAAAAAAAATACTAAAATTATTCTAGATTTAATGGATTTAAAAAAATCCAATCAAATTATACGAGACGAGTATAGCGGAGTTTAATTAAAGTTTACACAATTTTAAGATCGAAATCTAGAAGCTAAACGACGGGATGTTTATTATAAGAAAGTTTGCAGCAAACTTTGTCAAAATAATTTATGTTTTTACTTTATGCACCTTGATAAAACATAAATCTCAAAATGTAGTTTTATGGAGCTGTGTTATTTTCGGGATAGCCATAATTACCTCATAAATAATTCACTTGTTTGTCTTTGCTGCGATATTCTTTGCGATTTAAAAAAAATTCTGAAATTATAAAAATCTTTGATATACAGGAATAATTCACAAGAATATAATATTGGATTGAGCGTAAATTATTAAAATGTTTTCTTAGCATAAACGTTTTTGCTTAATTTATTACTTTGTTACAGCTCCTCCTTCTAGCGTAGAAATATTGGATCACCGACATAATTCTAAAATAGAAATAAAAGAAAATCAAGAATTTAGTTTGGAATGTCGAGTACGAAATGCCAAACCTGCCGCAAAAATTGTTTGGTATAGAGGAAACGTAGAGATGAATATTCGTAAGTAAAACTTAATTTTTCAGTCATTTCATATGAAATCAACAAATGGGGTGTGCCGCATGATTTTTAATTTTAATAAAAAAAATTAAGGATAATTTGAGGTACCAGAAATGCTAAACCACCGTTATTTATTTTTTTATCGACTTCTAGTCCGTACCCATCTAAAGTCAAAAATTGGGTCAATTTCACACTTGTACATAATGGGCTCTATCTTTTTATTTAGAATAGGTATTGAAATGATTTATGCTTTGTTTTATAGGGTAGTAAATGGGAATTTCATATTACAAAATAAAACTAATTTGAAACAATTAGGAACAAAATGGCGACCATCTGAAATTTCTACAATTTGTTCTCATTTTTACGATTTTTAATTGGACCCCGTGTCAACCCAGTTGCACATTAAGGATTGATTTTTTTTTTGAATTAAAGTATTAACCCTTTTGATGCCATGACATAATTATCATTGTTCTAGAATGTTGTGAAAATTGATCATTTTTTTAAATATTTAACTTTGACCCACAAAAAAACGATGTGGAGGAAAAAATAAAAATGTGATATTTTCAGAAAATAAATTCTATATCTTCGTTAATTATGTCCAGTTAGTGCTATTCTGTTATTTTTACTTTTTTAAGAAATATGATTTTTTAAAAGTGCTACTTTTACAAAAATATGAAAATAATTTGTTTGATAATAATCTATAAATTTTAATGTTGTATAACTTATTTAAATTTTAATTTAATTATGTCAAATTATGGTAAAAATTATAAAATAAAAGAATATTTTTTTTAAATCAGTTAAATTTGTTGATTTCATATGAAATGACTCTTTTGATACATTTATAAATTTTATAATATTATTTTAGATCGTGAAGATCAAGTGATAGAAGTTCCGGGAAAAAACGGGGATAGAAGGGTAACACGGTATGATACTCACTCTAGAATATCTTTAAAGCCAACCGCTGAGGACGATTATGCGGAATACACCTGTGAAGCAAGACACGAAGCTCTATCGTCTGACGTCCCAATGAGAGCCACAGTACAACTAAGTGTACTTTATCCACCAGGTCTACCCTACATAGAGGGATACACGGAGGGAGAAACCATAAGACGAGGACAACAAGTCGAATTGGTTTGCAGAAGTAGGGGAGGCAACCCACCAGCTCAATTAATATGGTACAAAAATGGCGATCAAATTAGGATGGCCTACAGGACAGCAGGAAGAGTGTCTGAAAATGTTTATGTGTTTACTGCTGATGCCAGTGACAATAAAGCTAGATACAAATGTGTTGCTAGTAACATAATGTCCAAAAGCCCTCTAAAAGCAGAAATCGACATGAGTGTACTATGTAAGTAAACCTTTACATATGTTTACGTATCTATATATTTCCTATTATTTCAGTTTCTCCCGCTCATGTAACCATTTCTGGCCCGACTGAAGCTCGAGTTGGCGATCCAGTTCCCTTGACTTGTACCACCGCCAATTCAAATCCCCCAGCAGAAATCAAATGGATGGTGGCGGGAAGACAAGTCAGGAACGCTACATCCAGGACTATTGTATCACCAGAAGGAGGCTGGATCACTACTTCCAATATCACCGCTGTTGTAGAACCGAATAGAAGAAGCTTGGTCGTAATTTGCCATGGTGTCAATATGCAGCTTACTGAAAATGTTGTTTCAACTCATACCATCAATGTTCTATGTAAGTTAATAAACGATTATTTTGTTATATATATTGTATAACGATTATCGTTTAGATCCACCTAGTGCTCCTTTCATTCACGGATATACTGAAGGAAACAACGTATCCTCCGGAACTGTTCAAAAAATATCCTGTACGTCATCAGGAGGTAATCCTTTAGCAACTTTAACTTGGTATAAAAATGACAAAAAGATCCATTCGACAACAAAAAGTAATGACAAGTCAGTCACTGCAGAAATTACTATTTTAACCAACGTAACTGACAACGAAGCTAGATATAGATGTGAAGCTGCTAACTCTGCTACAGAGATTCCATTATTTGAGACTATTACTATGAGTGTTCACTGTAAGTTTGGTTTTACTTTTAACCTTTATAAAATAACAAAAACATTTATTTTTAGTCCCACCGGATCACGTAAAAATAACCAAGGAGCCATTAGACTTAAAACCAAATGAAGAAGCCACTCTCATTTGCGATTCAAGCTCAAGTAATCCCCCAGCCAAGTTGTCCTGGTGGAGGGAGGGAATTCCAGTCCAAGGGCTGTTTAACACCTCCAAGCCAGGATTGCATGGTGGAACCGTTTCCAGTATAGAACTAAAGCTTAATATAACGGAACAACTTAACGGTATTGTTTATACCTGCCAAGCTAGCAACGATGCCCTGAAAAGATCTGTCCACGATGCCATAACTTTAGAAGTTTATTGTGCGTAATAAACAAAAAAAATATTAAAATAAATTCTAAAAAAATATATTTTTAGATAAACCCGTGTTTGATAAAGCCAATGAAGACTCCATCACCGGCATAGAAAACGAACCCCTTATTATAAGTCTAAAAGCAGATGGTAATCCTAGTAACATAATCTACACCTGGTCTAAAGATGGCTTGCCTATAACTCAAGCATCTTTAAGTAATGGCATGGAGCGTATTGTTTCTGATGGATCTGCTTTAAATATAACTCAACTAAGCAGACACGATGCTGGTACCTACAACTGTGAAGCATCGAATTCGCAAGGAAGTAGTGTAACTCAAGTCAATATAACCGTCCAATGTAAGAATAATTACCTTTATTTAAATCCTTTTTATTATTCTTATTTTACTTTTAGATCCTGCTTCAGTATTAGCAATTAGCGAAAACGTCATTGTAAATCCCAAGGAAGATGCAACGTTATCCTGCACAGCGGATGGAAATCCTTTAAGTGATGATTCAATAACATGGAAAAGAGATGATTTTCCGGAATTTGATGCCAGAACTTCCGTTATGTATGACAAAAATGGAACTTCATATCTAAGAATCTCCGCTGTCACTAGAGAAGATCTAGGAAAATTTCAATGTATTGTTAACAATGGAGTTGGTAATACTACCACTAGAGATGTTATGTTGATAGTTAAACGTAAGTTATTTAAATTATATTATTAAAAGTAAAATTATTGTATTTGTATTTACAGATAAGCCTGAAATTGATGAACACCCAACTTTGCTCAAATTCGCTAGCGATGCAGGAGATACTGGAAAATTAATTTGTAGAAGTCAAGGATCACCTCTTGCCCGATATTCCTGGGCAAGATCAGGATCACCTATTACTACAAATACCACTGGAAAGTACTACACAACCTACAAACAGATTGATAGCTTAATATCCGAGTCAGCTCTTTTTATTACCCATGTTACGTCTGCTGATTACGGCAACTATGAATGTGTTGCTAGAAACGAATTAGGGTTTTCAACCATATCGCCCAGATTGGAAGTAACTTCTGCCCCCGATACACCCACCTTACTTACAGTTTTAAATGTGACACATAACTCGGTAGTCCTTGGATGGACTCCTGGGTTTGATGGAGGCATGAAGTCGTCCTATAGAATTAGATACAGGCTTGTGGATGATGATGCCTACAAATATGAGGATGTTCCCTCAAACGTAACTACGTATGTTATCAAAGGATTGGAAGTTAATACGCAGTATGTATTTTCTATTATGGCCATGAACAAACTGGGTAGCAGCAACTTTATGCCCGATCTGCTTTCTGCTAGAACGTCAAGTAAGTTTAAAAACAGATAATTCCCTTTGAACTCTAACTAACACGTCTAACCTTACTAACTAGGTAAAGCACCTCCTTCCTATTCCTCACCAAGTCTGGATGAAAAAAATTTCAAGGATTTCCCCGGTTTCCTTATAATAGCAGGCACTATTGTAGGCACTTTACTAATCCTTATGAACGTCCTACTAATCGGCTGTTGCCTTCATAGAAGAACTAATAAAAGAGTAACAGGTAACTACATTTTTGTATCTTTATTTTTATAGTGTTTGTTGGCGACCATGTCGAAAAAGTTATACCCGAGGACTTAATAGAAAAACAAGACTTACCGAGAGTTGTTATTATTAGCGTGTCCATTATTGGCGTTATTCTTTTGTTCATTAATATCGGGTTAGTCGCTGGGTGTATGTTGAAAAGAAGGGCGAAAAGAATGAGAGGTTTGTTTTATTTTTATTTGTATTTTTATATTTTAAATACCTATTAGTATGGATTGTTATATTTCATTATTTTAATAGAACAAAATAACCAGACCAGCAAGTCAGCAACAATTGAAATGTACGCTCCAAGCAGCTACAACGATACTGTAACTGGTGAAACGTTGTCATCTGTAAGTGAAAAGAGCGAAACGTACAGCAATGAAGAAAGCCATAACGACTATGTGGTAAGTTACATTGACACTGAAAACAAGGCCTTTTTTGGTTATTATTATTTTTCGTTTTGACATATTAACATATTAACTTGCTTGAAAAACCTCATCCAAATTTTCAATCGCATTTTGCATTAGGTTACGTTTGGTCATATTTCCATTTAAGTATATATATAGTATATGTACTATAAATTATTATAGTATTAATATAGTATAGTTAAATTAAAAGTAACATAATGCAAAATTCTATTCGATGTTATTCCAAAATCATACTTATATCATATATCATATCATACACATGTTTTATCTTATTTTATGTCTAATATTCATTTATTTTCTAGGATGACAGTCGGAAGCTCCCTCCCACTAACTCCTACATCATGGACCATCATAATCCTATCGTTAGCGATTACCAAGGTGCGTACCAAGTGTACGAAATGCAAATGCCGATGCAGGGCGGCGGTGTAAGCATGGCTCACAAGACGCACACGCTGCCACACCCGCATCATCATCACCATCCGATGCATGATATGAGACCCAGGGCTAGAGACGATCAGACCCTTGGGTATCACGGTAGCATGTCAGGTAACTAACCAATAGAAATACTAATCTAAATTGTCTTGAAGATGACCAGTTTAATCCAACCTGTTTAATGCAAATATCATGTTCTTTGATTGTACAACAAATAAGTACCCACACATGTTTTTTTGTTATTTCTTACGAGTATAAGAGTTTTAAATCTAATCCCCTCAAATATATTTCTTATTTTCAAAGTCACTATGTAATTTTTATATTTAAAAAACAGTTTGTCCTCTTCAAAACAAAGTATTAATTTGTTTAAATAAACCGAAAATAATAATAATATTTTTAATGTAAATAGTATGCATTGGTTTTAAAAAATCTAAATTATATTATAATAATCTAAAGTGACACATGCATTAGCGTTTGTACAAATTGAACCTAATTGCAAATAAAAATTGTGGTTTTGTTTTTTAAATTTATTAACAAAGCATGGTTTTATCATAAAAATTTTATATTATAAAATTTATTTATCTCTTACGTTTTTAAAATATAACTAACAAAACAATAATAAATTCTAATATGAATATAGTGTATAAAAACTTTGCATTTAAATAGTTAACTTAATAATTGCTATGCAAAAAAATTAAAAACATCTTTATTTTTATTTTAATACAATTAAGGATTATAAGTAACAAAGGTCTTACTAGAAAGATAATAATTTTATTAATAATAGTGGGCAATACGGGTAGTGTTTATTATAATTATAACACTACCTGCGTTCTCCACAATAATAATTTAGACCCAGTGCCATTTGCAGGTACTAAAATGAATTGACATGGCACTTGTACCACTTGTAGTCTAAAACATTATAGGTAGATTTTGGTTTTAAAACGCAATTAGTAGCGTTTTTGTTATACTATTTCTTCTGAAATTACCTTATAAATAAAATAAAAAATACACAGGATGACAAAATTTATTTATTTTTTATTGTTGTACTATTCTTAGAGAGTTAATTGTTTAGATGTTTAGTTTTTTTTGTTAGCGGTTACTTTGTATAAATATATCCGATTTTAGACAAATCGCAATATTTAAAGACCCATTTAAATAAAATGATGCAACTCTTAGGCCAAAACCTTTTTATGTAAAAAGTATAGTATACTCTAAAGAATGCGCAGAAAAAAAATTGAAGGTGACTTATTTTTATCTTAAACATTTTTAATTTCATAAAAGTTTTTCTATTAAAAATTTAACATTTTGATTTTGTTTATTTTATTAATTAAAATATTGTACATTTTATGCACCTTAACGTGGTTTATATTTAATCCAATATCTTTAAAACACGAAGAAGCAGGGCCGTATTAAGCAACATGGAGGCCCGGGGCTATTTGATATTTTGAGGCCCTTATTTTCTTGGAAGTAAGAACTTTAGCGTTGACAATAAAACCTTTAACCCTTAAAACTTGTTAAAATTATCCCAATAATCGCCTTGAGCTGCGCAAAATCTTTAGAGTCTATATTATTTACCAAATCGGTTTTAATGGATAATAACACAAGATTGGGTGTTCTTCCTTGTCCCATTGTTGACCGCAGGCGATTTTTTATTAGTTCTTACTTTAAAAAACCTGTTTCTGCCTAATAGTTCGCAATTAACATTGAAATAAACATCCGGTAGGCGATAGCTACGTTCGGGAATACCTCGCTCGATTCACTTTTCAGTAAAAGATAATACAAATCTAGCTGAACTTTGTTAAGACGTATTTTGTGATTTTATAAATGCTTTAAAATGTACAATCTCGCAACCGAAACTTTCTGCATCCAAGTAATTGGGGTATATTTCACAAAGTTTTGTGGCTGAAGCAATAAGGTTTTTGTTTTCTACGTTAATGATACTGCCAGCCAAAAATCCAAATAAATCAGCAGCGGTATTATAACTTTCCGCTCTTTTATGTAGTTCTGGTTTAATTCTTTTAATAGTAGCAATAAACGTTTCGACTCTAAATGTTTTTATACTTGATTATGAGATTTTAATGGAAAAAGTGCAAAGATAGCTAGTGCTCTGATTTTAATCACATAGTGATTAAAATTATAGCATCACCTATTTTTGACCGTTTTTCTTTTTATGAAACAACTTGCATAGTCATACAGAATTATTACAAAATGACAAAATTGTATGTAGGATTAGTATAACTAGTTTTGGAGGCCCCTATGATTTGGAGGCCCGTGGCTGCAGCCCCCTAGCCCCCCTTAATCCGGTCCTACCAAGAAGCTACACAGTTTAACTTAAAACTCTGTAAAATGCAAAATAGGCTAAAAATTAATGAATACCTGTTTTTAACTTTCTGTACATACAAAGGTAAAATCAAAAATAAATAAAATTTGTCACTAACCTTTTCAATTTGGTTTATTGGTATTTGATATGGATTGACTAATCGAGATATAGTATAGCATAGTATAAACTATTTTTTGTGCTTAATGACAATGTAAACTTTTTTTTTAGAATTTTTTGTTACACCCTTTATAATTTTGTATTTCTTTAGCTAAATCATCTTACGTGAGTGCTCCCTCGCCTGCTCCACCCGCAGACGGTTCCTATTACAACATGTCGGACCGTTATCTGTCATACCCGCCGCCGTTGGATTTTCAGAACCCGCCTCCCATCCCCGCACACCCGCATTTAGGGCACACGATGACCCCCGCCACGCCGCCGCTTCCCTCAAACGGGTCACTTTTGCGCCACCAGAGGATCGTGCCGCCACCTGATGTGCTGCACAACACGAGCCAAAACCCGCAGATACTGCAAGCCCAAAGCCTAACCCAGAAACGGGAGTTGACCAGCTTCGGCAACGGTTACGGTGTTAACGAACAAGAAGGTCATCTCGTATGAGACAGGGAGGACGTCCTGTACGTGCTATAAAACTAATCAAAAAATAGTTTACACGGTATAATTAAAGTGCGTTTGGTTCGACAGTTGTGAATTATAAACCTAAAATTGACAATACGTGTTAATCAAAATAAGAACAAAACTTTAATACTCAATATATGTGATTTATTATATATGAATACGGTTTATATCATTGCAATATATTTTGAACTAAAAAGTGTATATATCTTGTTAAGTTTTTTATATCAGATCTAACGTTTTAGTTTTATTACAACTTCATTTACCATACAAAAACTAGTAGTAGTTACTAGTAGAATAGGTAACAAGTATTTTTCAGATAACTGTCATGGAATGGTTGTAAAATTTAATTTTACATTCCACTAATACCACAAGACTTAATTTTGAAAATATGTGTTCCCATTAAAACCAGGCATTTTAAATAAGTATTAGATGCCCATAGCTGATACTCAGTTATGTTTTAATGAATGTGATTTTTTTAACATTTTATTCTTGCTACTTTACTTAACAGTAAAAATATTTTCCAATTTTGTTGTATATATTTTTTGTTTTTAAGTTTTTATTTTAAAAATAATTACTAGTCCATTTTAATAACCAAAGTGTTTCTTTTTTTTGTACATGAAAATGTATAAATACCTTTTTAATTAAACGTACTCTTTTAATGTATATTTTTTAAATTTGACACCGAATATGTTTTTATTTATTTCATTTTCTTTTTGATTAAATAACAAATTTTATTTGTTTTTTAGTTGTGTACATTAGTAGAATTATGTATTATTTTAATTTTTAAGAATAAAATTAATTTTCATTATGATTTACGTTTTTTAATTTTTTCCTTTTTGTTTTATAAACATTACACAGTAATAAGATAGTTTAATGGTTTAATAAAATACCAAAGGTCTATAATAAAATATTATTTTTATTATATATTTATTTATAAATATTATATATTTATTATATATATATGTTTACCTTAAATAACAGTTTACTGCTAATACATACTTATTTATAAATGATTTTAATACTAAATATGACTACAAAATGGATGTTTAAAATCTGATCAAAAATTGGAAATTTCCAGTTTGTCCAGTTTAAGCCTCCATATCGGACAAATAGGGTATTACTGTAAAATACAGAGTTTATGTTTTATTAAAACTAGAAAATTACTATATTATGGCAGTAACAATCATTTTATAGAACATTAATCAGATTTTGTATCATAGAGAGCTTACTTTGAATTTAGTTAGAATATTCTATGTAAATATATGTAAAATAAAATTTACGCAACTAATACCTTCCAATTTTTGCCAATGTAATAATTAAATAATAAGTGAATGTAAAAAAGTGCCTTTTACATAAAAATACAATCTGCAAGTGTAATATTATTTAAAAAATTATTTAAGTTAAAAATACAATCTGCAAGTGTAATATTATTTAAACAATTATTTAAGTTACTGACAAAATTAAATAATTTATAATTTAATTATTTAAAGGCATAAATTATAATTTAAAAAATTATACTTTGTCAGTAAAATATTACATTGCAATTATTTGTATAATAAATTTGCGAAAGACTTCAAATTATAACAAAATTGTAAATAAAACCATGTACAAAATCTGACCATAAACACAAAAAATATTAATCATAAAAAACAGAACGTTAATCAAAATAATATCACGTATTCTAATCTTTACCTATTAAAAAAATGTGAGAAAAAAAATAATATTTTAGTAACGATATTTTGGTCAGATTTTGTAACATAATTAAGTGTATTGTGCATTAATATGTTTCCTCTCCCTTATTGTTACATACTAATAAAGAATGAATGATTTGTGTATAATCTAATAAAGAAAACTGTTGAAATTGTCCAGTCAATATTATGAATGTATGTCACCTCATATGTTAAATTTATGAATATTAAATGCTCATAAACAATTAAATGCCTTTTTTGATTATCCTTCAAAAATTATGACGGTTTATAAAGTTTTGGACATCTAGTTAAAGGGCGCTGATCACAAATCCATAGTAAATACTAATTCTTTGATTTTTGGGAATATGTTACACCATGCATATACGGTTATAACTTGAAATGCAATACCCCTTTGTAACTTGTAATCTTAAAAGAAAATTTACTTATATATAAGTAAATTTTCTTTTAAGATTACAATAGGTACATACAGTGGCTATAGCCTGTATACAGGCTACACGAAGAAAATAATGCGCAGAACAGTAATTCACAAAATGTGCAGTATATTGATCACTACAGTTCCTGACACTAATCATTGATGTCACAAAACTAACTATTGCTGTTGTCAAAGTAACCCGTGATGTTTATTAGAAATTGTATTATTTTAAATGGTATACTGACACTGACATTAACATTGCATAATAATAATATTAATAATAATAATAATAATAATAATAATAATAATAAATTTATTAATCCCTTTGACTACAAAAGAGAGTATAGGACAAGTCAACAATAATTTCACAAAAGTAATTAAATATAAAAAGGTACAACCTGTATCATGCTGGTATTAAATAACAAGCATAATAATAAATTTATTAATCCCTTTGACTACAAAAGAGAGTATAGGACAAGTCAATAATAATTTCACAAAAGTAATTAAATATAAAAAGGTACAACATGTATCAAGAATCATTAAAACTTAGACCAAACATACATGGAATCGCACGTTTTTGCATTTTAAAAACTCTATATACCTGTTTAATAGCCCCAACGTAATGTACCATATCTAATGTGTAATTCAAAATTTGAATGGTAAAAAGTCTTGTCAACAAACTTGCTGGATACCTGGAGACCTCTTAAGTGCATAACAATTTCTTGAAAGTTTCTTGCAAAGGTAGTCTATATGCACCTTCCAATTTAAAGAAAGGTCAACATAAACTCAGCAATTTAAAACTTGACACTTGTTGAATACTTTTATTGTTAAGTTTAATTAACGGACTACATACGTAATATGCACTGTATAGGGATGGAATTGCATAAATTGAGTTTTTTGTTGATTCATAACTAATTTTGATGTTTTAAAATATTTAGCAAGCGATTCAAGATTATTACAATCTTGTGTGACTGTATTCACTTGGGAGGTATTAAGTTGCTAATTAGGTACCCTCTTATATATGCCTACAAGACAATTATCGTTTGATTACAGCGATAATTGTCTACTAGGAATTAGTGATGGGTCCAACCAGCACATTCTTGTGTGCTAGCACACGTTGCACAGCACACTACGGTGTGCGGCACTGTGCGTGTCGTACATTTGTGCGGGGTGGGGGAAATGATTCAAAATGAAAATCTCGCACGTTGCACAGCTCAGCACACTGTGCGTGTCGTATCCAACTGTCGGTTTTGTATTTTTAATTGATGTAAAATCCAGTTTTATATTTTTTTATGTTTATTATTAAAGTCGATAAATACAATTTTAACTTAAACCCTTTTTTGATAAGAGGCAATTTTATTTTATTATAATTATAATATAGACTGTGTTGTTATCTATGGACATCACGATACATTATGGATTGGATATTTTCCAAGATATACAAACTGTTAATTATATAAAATAATTTCTCTACAACTTGTATCCTATTGTAGTGCCATCTATGTGTTTTGTGCTGAAGCAGTCAAAGCCACAGACGTAAAGATTCTTTACTAAAGAGTCATTGGTTAGATAAAGAGCAGTGCTGTGTCAGCGCACCGTGCCACATATGATAAAGGTGCCCTTTTTATCTCTGGGTGCTATGTGCTGGTAGCACATTTAAAAAGAGTCGTACCAGCTCCGCACACACAAAAGTGTCGTACATTATGTACGACTCGCACATGTGCGACCCATCACTACTAGGAATCGATAATTCCATTGTATCTACTTATCCATGGCAATTAATAAAAATAACGTCAGTTTTTACTTTAATGTGACAGTTATTTAAAATGTCACGTTTTGGTAAGGAATCATTTGAATCAATTAATGAAAATGTGTAAAATAGTGTACCAAAAAATACTGCAAACAACAACAAATATTTGAAAATGTTATTCTTTGATTTAATTAGTTTATTCGTGTAATTATCTAAACAAATTACACTCGTGCACATGCCTTTTAAAAAATGCATTCGGTCATTTTCATATTTTGAGGAAAGAGCCCTCCACCTTCGGTGTCCAAAATATGAAAATGAACTCATGCATTTTTTAGGCAATATGCTTTCAAGCAAAATTATCGATAATTTTTAAGCACTTGTGTAATTATTCCCGATAAGTGTTCTGTGATCAATGCATTGCAATGGTTACTGTTTTCCTTTCTCTGTATAGCAGCAGAGACGTAGCGTTTAAGGGGGTGTCATACCCCGCAACTTTTTTGGAATTTTTTCGAGGATCTGATATTATATTCCAATATTTCCTATGTATGGGAACACAATTTTGGTGGTTTCGAATAAAGCTCCAGCTAATGTCAAATAACCGATTTGAATATATATATTAGGGTGCTTCAAAAAATAAAATTTTATTTTATATTTCGCTCTTACCCTCTTAATTGTTTCTATTTCATATAAAAAAATCCTCACCAAATATGGGCGTTCCAGCTCAACTCTAAGAGGTCGCTGTTTTTATTTTAGTTTTCCATTTAATTAACATGGGAAAAAATAATTTTATGTTTGGAATTTTATACCTGTATCAAAGTAACTTATGGCAATGATCATTGCAGTTTCTTATATAAAATGTAACGCTCTACAAAAAACGTTTCTTATTATTTTTTGATAAATTGATTTCTTCTAGAGTTATTCGAGGTCAAAGTTTAATTAACATAAAATTTTCTGTTTTTTTTTAATTTTATGGTACAATTAGCAAACGGGAGGTGAAAGGAGGCAAAACAAGGCAGCGAGGGGGGGGGCAAAATGGGGTACCCAAAAAATGAGCATATGAAAAGTTTTCCAAAATTGTACCATCCTTTTTCTCGCTCTACAGGCTCAGAATAATTATTTTCGATTAAAAGCGTGAACTTGTGAGTCAATATATTTTCAAATAATTTAGAAACCGAAAAAAATATTCTAAAAAAACGCCCATATTTGGTGAGGATTTTTTTTATATTAAATAGAAACAATTGAGAGGGTAAGAGCGAAAAATAAAATAAAATTTATTTTAAAAAGACTTATTAATTATTCGGTATATTCGCGATCTGTTTGGTGTAAAATCGGTAATGATTAAAATATGCATTTTTGTAGTTTTTTAAACAATAAATAGACAATTTGTGACTTTTCAGAAACTTATCTTTTTTTCTTATTTAATTTTTTAGTCATACACTAATAATATTTTGATGCTGAAGTAAATTTGGATAATTCCGTAGAATTTGTTAGTCGGGAATGTAAATAAAAAAGACTTGAAGCGAAAATTCAAATCGTTATCATCATTTTTGATGATTTTGTAACATTTTGTTATTCGTTCCTAAATTTTGTAAATGCCAACTAATTGATTTGTATTTTCGGATAATTCCATCATTAATAAAATTTACAGTGAACAGAAAAAGTTTTTTTTAATTTTCTGCTTTACTATTTGACTATAAATTGAATATTATAACGGAATTC